GAGTGAAAAATTTAAAGGGGTCTGAATACTTTCCGTACCCACTGTATGTCAGGATATATTTCCAACATTAGAATTATATAGAAATGTGTATATGCTCCAAAATGTAATGGGTTGTTCCTTGGCCCATGCTACACCCTTCCACCAAGTTTCATGAAAATCAGGCCAGTAGTTTTTCCGTAGTCCTGCTGACACACAAACTAACCAGCAAACCAAAACCAAAAACATGTTATTGTTAGTGGCAGAGTCCACTATAGCTATTTCTCAAGGAACGTTTGCTGCCTCTAACTAGCATCGTACCTTTGGGCGTCGCTAAATCAGTTGAAACTGAACTCTTACATTAAAGGTTCGAAAATCAGTTACAGAGTTCTCAAGCTGAGAATGATTTACCTGTGCATTCTATGTGGGATACAAGTAGGTTGCATAAATGTGAATGAGGATTTGTTTAAAAAATATCTGATTTATTCTTATAACAAATAATCAGTCAATTTTATCCTAAACATTTCCAATAACTCAATCTTTATGTCAAGTGACATCACTCTGGGTGCAGACCCCACAGTAGGTGAAATGCTGAGTAGGTGGGTTGGGGTCGCCAATAGGCTTATGAGAGTGTGTGGGAGAGGTATACAGCAGTGGGAGGAAAGAAGCTGCAGGGTAAATAATCAGAGCATAAAGCCACCACATATTCCTGTGAAATGAGTATACATCCGTACAATATGTGCAACTGCATTACTGTTTAAAACGGGTGACGTCAAAATAAAGTTCCCTGGAAACCTTCGTAAGATAAATATGCTGTACAAAAAAAATAGGCTACTGTACTTCTTGACCCTCTTGAGTCATCTCAGACATCTTTCTTTGTCCTCTCACCAGAAAGGAGACCACGAAGAGTGGCAAAATATAACTACAGATGAGAAAGGGAAAGATGAAAGAAAGGGCAGTGACAGTGACAAACAGCAGAGCATTTCTTTTCTCTACTTAAGAAAATGAATGACATAGAAAGCAAGCTGAACAAGAGCGGTATTGCTCCTCTGTTCTCAGGGTGGCATCTAACCTGCATTTCCCTTTTTACACTTCCTTCAATGGAGACAAAATGGAGACAAAATGGAGATACACTGAATTTCCAACATATGCAGCTGGGTTTTGTAGAGAGGCTTGACCTGTTTTTCTGAATGAATGGAAATGACCTACGCTGTGGGCCTGGGTGAATCTAAATTGAGTCACCGAGGGTATCCTGTGCAACAGTGTTCTGTTTGATTTAGGAACTGCTCCCTTGCTGATTCGAGGCCGGACAGGGGATGGCTGTGCCCATTGGGCCTTTTGGGGAGAATGTCACAATGACAGATGTCTCCAGCCGCCAGCCTGCTCCCAGACTCAGCACTAGACGCTAAGCAACACAAATGCAATTAGGTGGCGCAGACACACACACACACGTGTACACGTACGCATACACAAGCTAGGCCTATGTCTGTCACAGAGGATATCTTCTTGGCAAAATGTAACATCCAACTCCTGTTGCTAAATGTGTCACATTTGGATAAAAGAATGAAGGAAAAAAGATCTGTTTGTCCATAAACACACACGCTGAGGTAATGAGAGTTTAATACGTGCAACTGTAAAAATGTTTATATGCCAACTCAACTCAAAACAACAAACTCTGTTGTCATGAAAATGTTCTACAGAAACATCTTTTGCAAAACCTCCGGGTTGACTGGAACCTCAATAGACAATATCTCTGCTACACCGTAATAGCCATAATTGCATATTATTATAATATTATTATATCATAATAGCCACCTCTATGGTGTCTTCGGGGGCAGTACATCGTGATTACAACAAACCTTTCTATCATATTGCAATCAAAAAAGTGAAATTCACACATTGCCGTTTAGATTTCCTCATTTAGGCACGAAATACAAAAGATGACATCAGGCTATGGTCCGGGCCTCTAATCATCTTTTCAGAAGCGTATGGGTCCCTTCGGACTATAGTCACAGGCCATGTAGAATCCCCTGTACACCTCTTTAGAAAACAAACAAACGTTAAACCCAAACCCTGACCTCGCAAACACTGTAAAATATGGATTCATTATAAAAGCGTTCATAAATCACGGTTAAATGGTTTCTGCAGTAAACGTGTTCTGTGGTTGAAGCCTTTACCACAGCAGAGAAGGGAATACTGGTGTGAGGATTTATTACAGCTTTATGACACAAGGCTTACAACTTAATTTGTCCGTGATTTGGAGGTGTATTTCACGTTGCCACACATTCACATTTGAGAAGGTTTGGAGACAAATTTTCCAGAAGTACCTGTCCGACATCAAGGCCAATGTACAGACTCACATGTGACCACAGGGCAGTGGCTGTGGAAAGCACCCTCCACTGATGTGTGAGAGGAGCCCCTGTGCCTGCCTCCATGGCCTCCAGCTGACCTCCCGCTGCCTGCAGACAGAACACTTAACATCGCTATCCCACCTGTAGAGATGTCTGAAGAACAGGGCCAACTTCAGAGCCGTGCAGTGATTGGGCCGTGATTACCATGGGTACTTGACTCATTTCATGTCCTCTGTAGGACTAAACTTTGGGGGGAAATCAGGCATGGAGACGTGGGATTCTTTTCAAAAGGAAACAAGAGATTCAAGCCCCCTTTCCAGGTGCTTCTCAGGGTTCACCTGATCATTTACCTTCATTGTTTTTTTAGATTCCTCCCTCATGATACCAGAGGAAGAACACACCATCATTGCTGCTGGGTCCTTTGGGTTCAAAATATGTAGAAATGTAAACTTAAAGAGTCATTCTAAAAATGCAACCAGTGTTGTATTTATTTTTTTTACATTAAAAGCTTATGAGTGTAACGTTTTCTTCTTAGGTGTTTGAAGTAGGTAGTGGGCAACTGGCACAGATGTTTGCAAAGGAATGTCATCTTGTATCAGTCGACAAGCACTTTGATAAAGCGGCCCTGCCACATGTGACATGAAAGCCCAACTGGGTTCAACAACAACCGTCATCTCAGCTCTGCTTTTCTGTAGCTAAATGCCAGTGACAGGAACAGAATTCACTGTGGTAACTGATCAGGTGCCAAGCGCCCTCTCCCCAGTGCCCTGCTGCACTAAAGCCCTCTGTGGAGCTGGCATGGCCTGGCAGCTATGGGCCCTGCTTTGTATCTCTGCCCATCTATACAAGCTGTCTCAAAATCAGACTCCACTACGGTCAGCTGCCCATCTCATGTGCCCAAGTGAAGCATTGGGACAGGGTTAATAGGCTGTAAGGGTAAGACAGCAAACCAGTTGATTTGATGTACATCATCATCTTCCAAAATGACCAGGAGGAAACCATGGAGTTAATTTCATTAGTGTTGTACCCAGCTCAAATATAAGCTGATATTAATGATAGATTAAAGGTTTTATTATGTAGGTCTTTTAAAAATAACATAACAATGAATTAGTGGCCTCACCATCTTTACAGGCCGTATGTGGTAGATATATTGTGAACCAGGCCAACAATAAAAGAAGCGTATACGGGCACCAGAATTAAACCATGCAGTGGTATTTGCAGTTATTGTAAGGTTACCTTTTAAGATGAACATATAACCAAGAGTGAGACTGCTTTGATTTACTATATGAAACATGTAGCTGTTATGTATTCCATCATCTACATGTTCAGCCATCTGGCCTAAAATACACTGTGATGATTTAAGTTGCATGTCTGTAAAAAGAACCAAAGCCTCCAATAAGCTAATAGCCCTGGCTGTTTTCTTTTAAAGATATGCCACCATCACAAAATTATATTCTCAGCTCTCTCATATTTGTATTACATATGCTACTGTATGTTTCTACATCACAAAGGTCTGTGACTAAGCATACAGATAGAAGACCACATCCATGTTTACAGCCTTTCACTGTCAGACTAGCGTCTCGTCCCAAAACCGTCGATGAGATTTGTGGCCTCGATGCATTTGCCTTCGACCTAAAATAAAAAGGTATTCGCACGGAACCTGAAGTTGAATGCATCGAAGCACGTACTCGCATAAAGGCAGGTGCACCTGTCTGCAGTGGTAGCCTATTGTGTTCCTTGTCAAATGAGCCATGAATCGGCCTGTGGCGCTGTGTGTGCAAAATGCAATAAAATCAGGTCTGTCTCTTACCGTTCTGTTTTCAGTCATTACTCCCCATCCTAAGGTTTGCAGTCCAGACCTCTGTCGAACCGTTAATTCCTGTCAAGGCTGTGTCTCTCCCTCTCTCTCTCTCGCTCATCCCCATGTCATATTTCTCCGCTGCAGCAGAACAAAGCCACGCCTCCTCCAGCAGCCTCGCTGCCGCGTGACGTCGGCCGGTGAGGACGTTTGACTCACGCGCTCGGATACACACATCCGGGTAGGAGCCGCGAGAGGCCGCTGTGTCGTCACTTGGATTTGATATTTTACCAAAGTCCGATGCATATAGTGGTGTTGTGTGGTTTAGGACTTTATATTAATATGATGTAAAGAAGACAACTGCTCGTGCTGTATGCATCACTGGGTTGTACACTACAATTAAAACAGTTGAACCAGTCCCATCATTTAAGTTAATAGCAATTAACGTTTCATTCTTCCGAGAAGCTATATAGTGCTTAAATGTGGCCTATAAAACAAGCATAAGTCGCCTCCGAATTGTATTGTCTTCATTGTTTTGAGGTTAAAGTGTTCCCTTTAGTCTAATAAACTACTATACATTCCTTGCTGAAACGTTAACAAATCTACCGTTGGCTAGCCTTAAATGTAACATTAGTTAGTTAACATTACTGTTGAGTGAATCCTGAAACCAGTGGCGTATAATGTAAGGTAGTCTACACATGCTAAATATGTTAACCTAGTTATAGCAATATACATTTTAGAAGGCTACACAACAGCTAATTAATTATAGTCTGTAATGCATTTGGTTTGGCAGGTATACCATCTGAACTTCCCTGTTTCTAATTAGAAGGATAAACACATGCACCAAACGCTTTGCAAACAGACACTCATCTCAATTAACGTTTTTCTCCAGCCACAGTATATGTATGTATGGTGTGATTTGTTTGTTAAGGCTGTAAATAGTCTATTGTGACACAGAAGGGTTGCTCTCTTTTTTCTTCTTCTTCTTTTACTAAATGCTGCCCGCACTCCACGCTCATTGTCGAGTGCTTCACTTGGGCGAACTGGTCCTGCGAGTTGTTTCTGTGCTGGTGTCACAGAGCCCCATATCGATCTGCCAGCGTACCTGCTGCACGGACACTGCGTCTGTGGAGGCACTCCTGACTGATTGTCTGTTTTTCCCCCCCCTCACTTCCAGTGAAAGTCCTCGCGGAACAGCAGCAATGCGGTCCGACGTCGCGTTTGTGATCTTTCTCCACTGTGTGGGATTTATTGGATGTAAACCCTCATCGCCCTGTTTCAGCGGACAGTTTATGCTGAAGAACCAGTGTGTCCTCTGCCACCCCACCTGCTCCGAGTGCGACGGGCACGAGCTGTTTGAATGCACTACCTGTGGAGTTGGTGAGTCAAATGTTCTTTCAACGCAGCATAACATCACGGATGGCTTTTCCAAAGGAAAAGGCGAATTATATATGAATTAAATCTTTTATTTCCCTCATAATACGATGCCCTGCCCTTGATTTACTTTAACAGGGGTTTAAAATAAGTGATGGTTTGTATACCCTAGTTATGCAAGGACAACAAAAAAATCACCAGCTAAACAAAGGCTTCATCAAAGTTAGACAATATCCTTCATCAAATGACAAATTTTACATTTGTCATTATTTCTCTATGAGCTGCGTAAATGTGATCCGTGAATTGCTGGCCATTAACCGATATAATTCCTCTGTTTTTATTTTATTTTAATTTATTTAGTTGGGGCTCCACAGATGGATGATTACAAACAAAGCCATGTCACAGACTCATTAATCCGTCTGAAAGAGAGGGAGGCAGCTCTATTCAATGATTACCAGAGCAAAGTTGTTTGAATGCTTTTGAATTACAAGAGGAGCATTCAGCTCTGGTTTACCCTTTACCCTTGGTAAACAGTCAGAGATTGAATGTAGAACTTTTTGGGTTGGATTTTTCTGTCACAGGGGCACCTTTTGAAATGGGTAAGAAATGAAGGTGTGATCATTTTTCTCCCGAGATTACACGGTGTAATCTGATCATGTTAGAATGGGGCCTTTGTTAATCAGAGGGAAAGGAAAAAATATCCCCTCGGGCTAGAAGTATTATACTGTTGCAGTTCACTGGGCGTAACCTGAAAAACCTGCAAGTCTCTCTTTCCCTCACACATACCCCTTTCTTTTATATATATTCTTTTAATATATGCATTTTGACTTTGTCACAATGATGCCTTTCTGATTTTACTAACTGCATTTCAATGTACATTGATCGTTTTGTTGTTCTTTCTGAACCCACTTCGAAAGCCAAAAGACTACCGCTTTCCTCATGCTCTGTTGCATGTTGTCATATAGAAGTCACATTTCTCTGTGCTCGCTGAGGTTGAATCTCTGGGAAGTGGAAGGGTCAGAAAGGCCCCTTTCCTCCCTGTCTCACACATCTTAAGTGCAGCAATGAGCAGATGAGACAATGCTGTAACTGGGATGCTTCCAGAGAGGCCTCAGGTGCTAGTGGCAGGTGGCAGAGAATGAATCATTAGAGCCAACAGAGGACTCTGCCTCTGTCTCTGCCCACAGCTCTGATCTCTCTTCGGCCTCTGATTGCCGTTGTTTACATTAGTTGGAGCAACATCAGTCTTGAAGTGATCTCAAACTGTGATCTGTTATTTGCAGGCCTACAGTCAACATCCTGTGCTGCAGCCATCAGTTGATGATGTTGCTCATGGCTTTGACATCCATTTGTTCAGCTACTATATTCTGTTTTCGATTTCTGCAATATGTGTTAAGTGCTGAAGACACCGAACTTTAACACAGTTGGCAGCTTGTCCTTTTGTCTTTCTTTCTTTCCATGGGCCCATTTGGCTCTACTTCTGCATTTATTATGAGAAGATCATTGATTTCCACTTTCAGAAGAGTCTAGATTTTTGGAAATGGCGTTTCCTGGCAGGAGTTCCGTATGCCTAATGGCATCTTCATCAGAAGAGAAAATACAGTAGGCTTTATATTAACAAATCCTCTGTGTCCTCCTCCTCCTACTCCTCCTCCTCAGATGAAGATGGACAGGAACGTTTCCTTCACCAAGGTCGCTGTCGGACACACTGCCCCCGGGGACTCTATCCTGACAGGGGTCACTATGCCTGTCTGCCCTGCATAGCCAATTGTGAACTCTGCACAGATGGCAACATATGTGCCAAATGTCGGGAACACTACAAACTCCAAAATGGAGTCTGCCAAACTGCGTCCTGTGTCATAGGTAAATGTAAAGTACAGTTTCTGTGTTGGCTGTAGCTTAAGAGAAAGTCATTCAATGTTATTATGCTGGATGTCTGGGTTTCAGGGCAGGTGCAGGACCCGGATACAGGGGAGTGCATCGACTGTGAGATGGGCTGCAAAGCATGTTCCACAGGCAAGTCACCATACAACACCATACTATTCCCTCCCTAATGTAAGGTTCATTGGCTGTGTATTTTTATAACCCTGGTAATAATAATGGTGCACAATGAAGGCTGCTTTTCCATAGGAGTTCTAATTAATCACCTTTTTGTCTCATTTTTGCACAGAGGACCCTGATATCTGCAACAGCTGCGTGGAAGGTTACTTTCTGTGAGTTTTTTTCCTCTTTCTATAATTGTCTTTTAATAAGTGCACTTTTCTATCCTCCCATATTTTCTGCAATAATATCAAATGCTTTCTTAGGTATTATTTTATATAGCTAACATTTTATATTAAGGCTGCTACTAAAGATTAGTTTAGATTAATCCAACTATTTAATTAATTGTATGATGACGCATGATTAATACAATGTCCAAAAATAGTAAAATAAATGCCTACTGCAATACATACAATATTTATCTATCCTCAAAATTGTTGCTGATTATTATGTTTTTGGGTTGTCCGTACGTTTGTACCTTCCAGGCGGCACCCTTCCGGTTTGAAAACTGAAGCCAACGTGGAAGTGCCTTAAACTTGCATTATTTCTAATAGCCAGCAGGGGGCTACTCCTTCAAAATAAAGTCAGATTGTATTGAAGTCTATGAGAAAATTACCTTACTTTTTATTGATTTATTACTTCAGTAAACATCGTAAACACGTGTTTCTGGTCTTGATTGTCAGATTTTTGTAGTCAAAGGTCACTGTGACCTCACAAAACACGTTTTTGGCCATAACTCAATAATTAATATGACAATTATGACAATTTTACAATTTCTTTCTAATAGGATACAATTATGAAGTGATGATAATTTTGACAGACATGGATGTAAACTGCAACATGACTTGTTGGCGGAGGCATACAACTGTTAGGCTTTAATTCTAACTAACTAAATGACCTCGGAATTGTTTTTATTAGCATTGCCTTTGCCATGATACATAAAGAGTAAATCAATATGCAGTTTGTGAGTTGATACACCCTATACCTTTCATTCAATTCTCTTCCTTTTTATTCACGCCACACTACATTTCATCTGTATATCTGTTTACACCACATTATCACTGGGAGGTTACAGAGGTAGAACAGACCTTCAATTGTTTACTTCTCCCCCCCGAGTTTAGTTCCTCCTGGTATTGTGTTAGTCGGGTTACCTTCCATTCGGAGTCGTACACTGTTACCTGAGCCTTGGTTTGAGCACAGAAGAGTAGTTTGCTTCACAGAGATACCTAATGGTGTGTGTTTTTATGTTATGTGTGTAAAGGAGAGGAGTAAAGAGAAGAAGTAAAAGTGGAAAGCGTAGCCAGTATCGGGTGTGATTATGTAGGGTGTACCATCTTGACTTCACTGACTGCTCTTGTGAATCACAGCGGAGGAAGGTTGAAGGAAAATTCCCCGCTTCACTGCACTCACCTCCTCGTACTGCCTTTACAAAGGTTCAATGAGATACTCAGTCTTCTTCTGTGAATCTAATTGTGTAAGTTTTACTTTAACAATAATAGTTTAGAGATTTAAAACAGCAGGTCCTCTCAGTCATTTCTGTGGCAGCAGTACTTATTACATCTACCATGTGAGGCAAACACCAATGAAAGAAACCCCATAGAGCATGGGGCGATCATCAACTGCAGGAAGAGCCTCACAGTGATAGATTGTGACAGTTTCCAGCACTTAAAGAAATTCCACTACCGAGGTTTTGGTAGTAGTAATGAAAAATGTTTAAGCCAGACAGTTTTGGCACAACTGTGGATCTGTGGAGCCAATGTTATTCTCGTATAAAACACTGGCTATTGAAAAGAGTCACAGCATGATTGATGCTTGACATTTATCTTCATCTCTATGGATTATCTGTGCAGCTAAACCAAGAAATAGTTGTGATTCACTCTCAATATACTTTTTACAGTTTATTTACTTAAGCTTTCTTAACTTTAGGGATTACATAGAGCGTATTATCACCTTTTCCTAACCGATTCAAGGAGTAAAAGCCCTAAACAAAAGTTCCTTTGGAAATGCTGATGTGCTCTCCTGGAATGGATAGTCTAATATTTGCACAGAGGGATTCTTAAACATCCCGCAGATTCTTGAGCGGTGTACTGTTTCCAGGCCAGAGACAGGGCCTGGTCTGCACCAATTGCTATTAGGAGTGAGTTGATGGATGCACTGTGACTGTGGTGCCTCCAGCTGTTCCTTCTCAAACAACCACCGCATCTTAGCACCAAATCCATGGCAACGCAGCAGGAATTGCGTCTAGACTGTCGGCGGTAAAATTCTCTCATGTTGGAAAGTGTCTGCAGAGCATGTTGCACAATATAAGTTAGTGGCTTATTATTGCTGTTTAGCTCGTTTCATTTAGAGTGTTTAAGTTTCTAAATTAGGAGTCATTCTTGTTTAAATGTTTTATGTGTGACATTTTTGCAACTCAATATCTCAGCTCCTTCGGGCTAGATTTTGTTTTTAGGACAGCTGTCTCATGTTTAATAGCTCAGTTAAGCCCCGAAGGACTAATAGGACAGGTTAATGAGAGAAATCTCCCCATGCCTCTGGGCTACAAATAAAACACCAATTAACTTTCTGCCTTAAGAAGAGAATAGAACCATGATAAGCTTCAAGTAAAGCAGCCTACATTATGTTTTGGTGTCTGTTTGCTGTCCTTACTGATGTTTGACTGAGTGCACCTTTTGGTTAAGGACAGAATTGAAGTCAACAATAGAGCTGCAGGTGTGCTGTGGACTGACACAGTGCATGATTTCCTCTTGCATGCGGTTTGTTTTGTCTTTTCCCTGGTTTCAGTTCACAGCCTCAGACTCATCCATGTGGGCAAAGCCATTCTTCATTCACTGTAAAGCTTTGACATCATACAATACAATCACAATAGTTTTCATCAGGTCTTTCATATTTCAATAGCTTTGTTCTGCATGTTTGCTTTCGAAAAAGGAGCTTCTTTTTGGTTAATAGCTATGACGGACAGTTTTAGTCAACAGTTTATTGACAGATTTCACACACACATAGACCAACCAGAGTTTTAGACATATGGTTTGTTAACTGTTATGGATTATTGGGCAACACTTTGGATAGTATTTGATTTTAATTGTGAATCAACCTTTTCTTTTGCAGTTTCAGACACCAGTGTCGCAGGCATTGCCCCCAGAGCACCTATGAAGACTGGGGCAGGGGCTTGTGTCTGTCCTGTCCAGCACCATGCACAGATTGCAGGAGTATCACACGCTGTCTTGCTTGCCAGCCTGGTTACTTCCTCAATGGTACCGGTCGCAAAGAATGACCATTTCTGTGTATATTTTGTTTACTACTAGCACACTAAAGGATTCAGGTGACCTCTTTGTCCTACACGGTACTAGTAGAGTTTGGGTGTAATATACTCTTTAATCCATGTGTATGAGAGAGTGATCAATCATTCTTGCTAAAGACAAATGATGGCACTCTGGAGTCTTCATTTGGATTGCAAATCATGTCCATGTCAGCAAATCAGTAACATGAGCTATGCAAATGAATGGTTTATGCAAACAAGGAATTATGATTTTGTTCTTAGGCTGTGTTCTCTATGGGCATCTAAAGACAACAATTGCTTTGAGATTGTAAGTAAAGCCTGTAGCTATTTAATAACAGATCAGTGAGTATACATCCACTCTATCAATGTGATTTTATCATGTACATATTTCATGGGCATGTGTTATACATTGTGTCAGACAGCATCTATCACAGAAGGTCAGCTTATTCGCTCTTCTTTAGCCACAAGTTCTAGTTTAAGAAATATTTTAGTAATATTATGTACCTGGGCAGTTGTATGGACTTTGGAGAGAGAGAGAGAGAGATCCTGAAAGGGCAGACAGAAGTAAATGAAGATCTTTTGATGAGATTTTAATCTGAGACCACATCAGAGCCACATTGCTAGTTTTTTTGCTATGTTTCAATACAAATAGATTGTACTGATTCTAAACATTGCGTTGCCCTCCTGAAATGTTTTATGTTACCATATCACATAGTGATTGGGCACTCCTGCATATGATAGTAAGACTGTCTTTGAAACTTCCCTCAATAGATATTAGTTGAAATAGTAAATTATATATTATCTACAGCATTGTCTCTGCTAGGTTTTTCAAGATTACTATTTGCTGATACAGATGAAGTGCTGTACCAAAAACTAGTGTAACTTCTTCTCTACTTACTGCCCTGTCAGGAGGTGACTGTATAAAGCAGTGTCCCCAGCAAACCTTCAGTGACTCCAGTGGGTGGCTCTGCCAGTCTTGCCACAACTCCTGCCAGACATGCCATGGACCTCGGTCAACCAACTGTGACCTGTGCCTTGGTGGGAACCCTCCTCTACATGGGCAGTGCCCTCTGGCTAACTGCCCCTTGGGACAGTACTTTGAAGGTAAGAGGAACAACCAAATCAGGCCTGATTTTTAACAGTTAATGTGATCTTTCTCAAAAGGTAACTGTTTCTGACTTATCAGAGACAAGACAACATGAAAGCAAAGTGATTATGACATCAGGTGACGGTTAAATCAGAGATTGTACTGAATAACATGATACTTGACTAGTTGATTCCTGACGGAAATAATGGTCTTTCTCCTGTGGGAGGTCAGAGCAGTATCCTAGGAATTTGGAGGGATTCGGTGTCTTGCTCAAGGACATGTTAGCATGGTGGATGCTTGCCCCTGAGACGGTAGCTTGAACCCTGCTGAAGGACCTCTAGGTTGAAAGACGCTCTCCAACTCACTATGTCACCCTGCCGCACATGCACTGCCTCACCTTTCATTCAAAAGCCATTTTAGTAGAGCTATTTCAAAAGGCTTCTCTGCCTCAAGCACAGGGCTCTTCATCTACTTCCCCTGTGGTGTCTGTGTCAACAACATTGGACTATCACACTCCACTGTCATCAACCATACAGGGTAATCGGGCTGATCATTTATAGTCGGTCTGACGTTCATTGTAAAGAGCACTTGTCATAAGTGACCTCATACCAATGTGTTGCATTACAAGTATAACTGATTTTTATTTTTGTAATACAGTCTTTTATAAAAGCTTGGTTATTCCTTACATGCAATCCTTATACCTTGTATACAGTTGTATCATATAAAGGGTGTAAGAATTGCATGTAAACATCAATGCTTTCCATACATACATGCAATAATGGATCATTTAGTGGCTTCCCTGTTGTGAATACCCGGTAACATTTTGCAGGTTTCAGACACCCCAACTGCATCCACCATTTGTGCCTAAGCAACACAGCACTTGTTATTGAAATACTGTATTATGCTTCCCTCTAGTGGTAAACGTGGGTAATGCAGACAATTGTCAAGTTTCTGTGCTCAGATCAACAAAATACTTCTCTGTGTTCTGTCAAATGTGATGTTTCGTTATATTGTGAGATATGGTTACTCTGTTTATTACTTTATTTTTTAGGGAAATATAGTGAATGCCACACATGTGATGCTTCCTGTAAGACCTGTTTTGGCCCACAAGCGCTGGATTGCTCTTCTTGTTTCAAAGGTACAAGTATTTACTATCTTCATTTATGACTATAAATTTAACCATTATCTCAGTTCCTTTGGTGCATTGTGGTTGCATTTGTGTGTCACAGGATATTTCTTGGGTCAGGACAGTTCTTGTGTAGGGCAATGTCCATCTGGCTCCTACGCAAACACTGCCACTCAGTTGTGTGAGGACTGCTCGCCAAGCTGTGAGGCCTGCGTGGATACCAGTTATAACTGCGTCAGCTGTTCCAAAGGCAGCTATAAACTTTTTCTACACCAGGGGAGGTGCTGGTCAAATTGCCCAGAGTAAGCAGTTGGATAAGCTAAGCAGTAAAATGAAAAAAACATTTGTTAATGATGGTGTGTTCTTGATTTCACTCTTTATGCCTGAACAAATCTACTGACTGATTTCAGAGGTTTCTTTGAGACAGCAGAGGGATCATGTGAAGCCTGTGATAGCTCCTGTTTCTCATGTGATGGGATCAAGTCCCAGTGTCTATCCTGTGCTGATGGCCACTACTTGGAGAGTGGTATTTGTAGACTCAACTGTTCACTGCGGGCATATCCTGCAGATGATGGTACCTGCAGACGCTGTTCTCCCCACTGTGACGTTTGCTCAGATGACAGGACCTGTTTCAGTAAGTTTTTGGCGGTTTGGGCCGCTTTCTTGAAGAGGAAAAATGTTCCAAGTGGATTACATTTTACAGTGAATTGTAAGACATTGTATCACATCCTGAAATCTCTTCATACATCTTTACCACCCCTCCTCAATATCATTTCAGAATGCAGTTTCCTTTACCTGATGCTGAACGGTGTGTGTAAGGCAAGTTGTCCCATGGGCTATTATGAGGACATGGAGGAGGGCCGCTGTGGTCAGTGCCACCCAACATGTGTCAGCTGTTCAGGGCCCATGGCAGATGACTGTGAGACCTGCTCAACATTTAGCCCCAAACTCTATAAGGGTACATGCTCCAAAGACTGTCCCACTGGTACCTACTATGAAACTGAAGCTCTGGAATGTCAAGGTAAGCCTCTTGATACGACATGACTTAATTCAATTTTTAAGCAGTGTTGAATATGAAGGCTAACATAGTTTCTGACCATGTATATCTGGCCCTGCCCTTTTAAAATTGTTATGCAGGTCTCATTGTTTATTCACAAGGGCAGCTCACCTATGGAAACTAAAATAGTCAAATGTATCACCTCTGCACCGGCAACAGCGTTTCTGTGATATCTCAGAAATGTAAATTAAGTAAGTAAATATGCAAATTTCACCAAATTTGGTATAGCAATGTTCACTTGGACACGAGGAGGAACTGATTTGATTTTGGTGGTCAAAGGTCAAGGTCACTGTGACATCAAAAGAATTCATATTTTAATTATGACAATTTCACACAAATGTCTAATAAGATAAAATGATGAAGTGCCATTTTGTACGACATGGATGTAAACTGAAACTTGATGATCTGCTAATTAATGATCGGCAAACAACTGCGAGGCCCTAATTCTAGTTATGACAAACTATACTATGGCTATTTTATGATACTTTGTATGGCATTCTATAATATGACAATGGTTGATCAGAAAAATCACTGGACATGTTTGACAAAGACACAATTGACAATTGTATAGAAGTTTGCTTCTGCTTATGTGGAAAGCACTAAATCCACAGTATGTAAAACCACAACACTACCATGTCTGTTCTTTACTTAAGATGACAATAATTTACCTTGGTGATCGCATCCCCTTTTGCAAATACAGTCATATGACATTCACCTGACGCAGTCTCATTTGTTTCACCATGGGCAGAGTGCCACCAGACCTGTATGAGCTGCTCCGGCTCAGACGCAAACCAGTGCACCCAGTGTGAGAAGGGACTTGTGCTGGATCCAAACACATTGTTGTGTGGCGTGACCGGTGACACTGACTGCCCACCGAGGACCTACCTACACGATGACCAGTTCACCTGCATGCGTTGCCATCAGCACTGTTACTCTTGTGAGGGACCAGGCAACGATGAATGCCAGACCTGTGCCGTCCCCAAATACCTTTATAGTGAGCATGTTCCACCAATTTTTAACTGCATACTGAAGAGGTTTCGGGTGTAAAATAAACAGAAATCAGCAGAGAAGCTGATTTTTAAAAAGTGACAAGTGACTAGTTAGGTGCCAAAAAAAGTCTCCAGATAAACAGGACAGAAAAATAAAGCAGTAAAAAGGATGCATGAGTGTGTACTAATAAAATGGTTATGGGACTTTGGGTCTGTCTGCTATTTTCCAGACAGCACTTGTGTGAGTGAGTGTCCGGCTGGTACATACGACACAAGGCAGGATGCTGACGGAACAGAGCTGGGCCTCTGTTTGCCTTGTGATAACGCCTGTTCCACCTGCTCGGGAGCATCCCCTAAAGATTGCCTCACTTGCTCTGCAGGACACCTGCGTCTCCTTCAACTCTGTGTCACCCATTGTCCCACAAGGTACAAAACCTAAGCCTCCATATTTGTCTTGAATATATTTACATTGCGATGTCTGTTGACTTTCTCCCCACCCTATTCAATTGATCCAACAAAACAAAGAACGTGTCTGGAAATGACCAAAGCTGCTAACAGAGACAGTATGTTCCATTTCTAAGCAATTTCTTCAACAGTAGAAAAACTTCCTCTGGAAACTTGTATTCTCAATTCCACAGATATAGACTACCTTTTAAATCCTAAATTATGTCTGGCAGAATCCAAAAATCAAAATACATGTCGTGACTTGTTTATTGATGATGCATTTCTTCAGGTATTACAGAGAGGGCTCTCACTGTGAGACATGTGACCAGTCCTGTGAGCAGTGTACAGGACCAGGACCTGAGTCCTGCAGGGCCTGTTCACCTCCTCTTCTGGAACTGCAAGGCACCAAGCTGTGTGTTGAGCACTGCCCACAGCACTTCTATCGGCTTAATGACATCTGCAAACAGTGCCACACCAGTTGTCAGACCTGCACAGGTAAAGATGATGAAGATGTTAACTTAAGCAATCAAATATTTTTGTATTCTCCACCTGTTGTCAACATTGAACATTCTCTTATTTGTCTTCGTATCATGAGTACGTAAATGTGTCTGCAGATGCCTCGCCTCACGGATGTGTGACGTGCGACTGGGGCAGCACTTTAAAGGACAAAGTCTGCTATCCACACTGTGAGGAGGGGCAATACTTTTCGAAAAAGGTATAATTATTATAACCATAATATTTAAAGGCACAAGATAAATGCCTACGTCTGATTTATATCTAACGCAAAGAGCAAAGCGGTCACATTAATTTCTCCCTTAATCAGTGCACTGCTACATTGGAATAGTGGATGTACTTTGGTTGTTGTATCCATAAATGAGATACTGCTGATGTCCTTACGTTTTTTTCCACACACATTTTGCCTTTAACAAATATTTTGCCTCCTGGCCATATTGCAATTTTTCGAATAATTATTTAGCCCTAATTTTTTTTAAATATATGGAGAATTTAAGTGCAGACAGATACTACAACTCAGATATCAATAGAAAGCACATCTGTACAAATTGGTTTCCAGTCTCTGTTCTTAACGGTCCACATTACTGACTGCTCTGTCTACAACTGCCATGTTTTTCTTTGATGTGCCCAGTCCAGAAAATATATAATTTCTGAAATTGTACCTTTGTAGGAAACCTGTGAGCCATGCGACAGCTCCTGTGGGCATTGCACTGGCCCTAGACCTGACCAGTGTCTGACTTGCCACCGGGATTCTGCTCTTCATGCTGTGGAGAACCGCTGTGCCCACTGCTGTCAGGCTGGAGGGAATGACACAGATTGTTGTGTTTGTGACAGCCGCTCAGGTAGAGACGCTGCCTATCATAACAAACACAATTGTCTTCAGTTGACCATCTACTAAAGGCAGTTTTTTTGTTCTAGCTCTGTGCGTGGAGGCTCCCCAACCCAAGTCAGGAGAGGATCAGGCAACGGACCTGAATATGTCTTCTAGAACTCTGAAGCACACCTCAGCTGGCCTTCCTATTGCCCTGCTGCTGGCACTGGGGTTGGCTCTGGCCGTGTTTGCCTTGGTCAAGGCCCATGCCAGGAAGAGGCTTTGCTGGGGCCAAAGCTATGAGAGACTCAGTGGCAGTGCCAGCATCAATATGCCCCACGGTGTTCCCGAGCCGGACAGTGGAGACGAGGTGGACGTGGTGTACACCAGTAGAGGTGGATCAGTATATCGACGCTACAGCTTTATCCATGAGCCGGACACAGGTGCAGACCAGGATGTGGATGAGAGCACTTGTCTCAATCAATTTTAGATACATACGTACCAGATCTTGAAGTGTCTGAGGAATATATTGTGAATGCTCACAATATCAACACAGGTGAATTCAAAATAGTAATGTATTTTGCCTTTTAGTGATATTTTGCTTTGTTACGTTGCTTTATGAGTTATTGTGTTTATTCTACTCTACGAAGTGCCTGTACCTGTATAATGCACATTCTAAGTTGAGGCATTTGTGAGTAAACAGTGAAAAAAATACATGTGTATGTATTAAAATGGTAAACAGCTTAGTATAACCGATACCCGCACTGGGAGGGGGTAAGTCGCTGAAACACTGCTGTTCTGTAACCTCTGACCTAGGTATCTAACGTAGCTCCCAAAATCTACACGCAAACAGTCTCATCCTGCTTTTGGAGGTGAAAGTTCAGCATAGATGAAACACTAGCTGTCGTTCTATCACTTCTTTCAGGCTTTTCACGCTGGCCTCCCTGACAGCAGGATAGCGACAGAATATGTTGATTATATTTATTTTTATTACTCTGAATCTGTAAAGTAACTAATGTTAAAATGTATCTGCAGAGTCACAATAGAGCTGCATTTCACCCAAAGAAATGTGCGTGTGTGTGTGTGTGTGTGTGTTTTGTGATCAAGTTCTTCTTTTTGTGATTGATGCGCCTTCCTCAAAGTCCTACCAAGAACACTGATACCCATCTTCCTCAGAGACGGTGACTGAGGAACATTTGTAGGCGTGTTTGTTACAGTTGGTTTTTTTCCCTTCATCCTCATGTTTAAACAAACTATCTTTGGTCATGTTGAATAACACGTTTACTGAATCAATATGTAGAATTCAAATAAATTAGGTAGACTATTTTCATTGATTTGAACCTTTGATAGGATATTTCACTATTTATTTTTGGCATTCATCGGGTGTTTAAACAACAAGAAATAAGCTGATTCTGACCCAACAAGGAACTTTATTACTTTACTAATTTACTTTACCAGTACTTAAAATTATCATAATTGTAAGTACTAGTAAAGTGATTGTACCATAATTGAATTATGGTGCATTTAACCCAAAAACATCATACAGACCACCACATGTAAGGAACTATTTGAGTAATCCTCTGTGTGCACACCAGATGGTCTTCAATTCCATACAAACAAGTAACATGTAAAAATCGTATTAATTGTAAAACATAACATTTTTAAACATGAGATGATTTAAAACTGATGTCTTGTGTGTACCTGATGCGGTCGAGAACACAATATTAATGCTAATGCTTTGTTTCCATACAACCAAAAGTTTATTTTGGTTTAGTTTGTGTCTTCAGTTTTAAAGCCACAGGAAGAAAAGTGGAATTCTATGATAAATGCTGCCATGATTTCAGTACATTCACAACAACAATAACCTTACACAGAACTGAACAAACACTAAAAGGGAGCATTTGTAGGCGTGTTTGTTATAGTTGGGTTTTTTCCCTTCATCCTTACTTCCTCAAAGTCCTGCCAAACAAGGCTTGAAGATAGGACAGCACAATTAACCCTGAGTGAAAAGAGATGACAAGGACACACTAGGAGACCAGAGACATGTTTGTGGGACATCCAACAACAAACAGTAAACCCCAGAAACAGTCTACATTTGATCAGAGACAGAGATGAAAGAAATGCTGAAAAGATATGTAGGTAGGTTAGATAAGCCCAAAGTCAGGCAACAGAAATGTGAGACAGGTGAAGAATTGCTTGTTGAAAACAGATATGTAATGATAAAAGTGCGTAT